CACTCACACCACTCACATATACTCACAAGACATACTCACACACATACACTCACACACAGACACACTCACCCACACACCCACACTCACACAACTCACACAAACACACAGATACATTTACACACACACATAAAAACTCACACACATACACAGATATACTCACACATACACATATACATTCAAACACATGCACTCACACACATAGACTCACACATACACATGTATGCTCACACATCACGGTTACTGTCCTCCCGTTGTTCATCGATTTGCTCGAGTGGGCCCAATAACGTCTCCATCGTGAGACTTGTTGTTACTGTGTTTGGCATATCGAATACGCCATGGGGAGCTTGCCAGGCTCTGCCGTGCGGGCGGATACTCTCGGTAGCTTGCCAGGCTCTCCGAGAGGGGCGGAGGTATCGAACCCGGGTCAGCCGGGTCGGCTGCACACAAGGCAAACGCCCTACCGCTGTGCTATCGCTCCAGCCCTACTCACACATATGCACACATACAGACTCACACATACACACATGTACTCACACACACATGCACACATACTCTTACACATACACATACACTCACAGTCACACAAATATACTCACACACATACACACATGCACACATATAGACTCACAGACACATGCACGCATGCTCTTATCCACACACACACACACACACACACACACACAGAAATCCCCCCCCCCCCCCCCCGCAGCCCCCGCAGGCCCCTCCGGGCAGGCCCTGCGGATTTAGCCGACCTCACTTTTAATTAACTGGGCGCTGCTGCGGCCCGCGGGCACCCTAATCCCGCCGCCTGACGTCACCTGGGCCCGGGCGACCTGCGGGCGACCCGGGCGGGCCCGCGCCTGGGAACGAGGCCCCGAGCTCAGGCCCTTGACTGGAGAGGGGGGTCCCTTTCAGCCCCTGTTTACCCAGCGGGCGGGAGCGGGGCCCTAATTGAAGTCCCGGCTTTGGAGATTAGGCGGCATATGGCCCGCGGCCCTTTCTCTGCCTTTTCTCATCAAACGCCGGAGGAAGGTGGGCAAGGGGCCCCGGGACAGGTGCTCCCGGCCCCCTGAGAGAGGGGAGGGAGGGAGGACGGGCGGGCGGGGGGTCGCCCAGCCACCCCAGGGAGTCCCAAACCAGCCGCACGGCAGAGAGAGGACCCGGCTGGGCTGGGCGTGCAGGGACCCCTCCATCTGCCCGGGTCACGGTGACGGGCCCCAGGCACGGGGCGCGAGGGCCTCACGGCTCAGGGGAGAGCCTGTCACTCCACCCCCCACCCAGCCCAGCCCCCCCACTGCCCACCTGTGCTCCCTTCCACCAGCACACCCATGCTCCACCCAGTCACTCACCCACCCACCCACCCACCACCTCACACAATCCCTCGTACCCCCGTGCCAGCCCCAGGCCCACCCCTGCCCTGAGGGTACCAACTAACTCCTCTACCTGGAACCGCCAGGCAGAATCCAGGACTAACAGTGACATCCGACTTCCGGACGTTTACACTGCATATCACAGACGTATAAACGCAGGCAGGGTGACCTGGAATTCCAGGGTCGCTGGATTTGGATTCCAGGGTCTTTGGAACCTTCTCAGGACACTGTGTCCGTTCAGAACTTCCCATCAGCACCAGCATTCTGGTGTGTGTGTGTGTGTGTGTGTGTGTGTGTGTGTGTGTGTGGTGTGTTAGAGCCGAGGCCGGACCCCACCTCTGTCCCCAAACTCTTCACCTGCAAAACTCTCAGCCTTGGTGACTCTCCAGCCCTGCAGGACACTTGTGAAGAAGCCCAGGGCCAGGCTGCCACGAAATCCTTCCAGACCTTTCCGCGGGGTCTGCAGGAATATTCAAACACATTCTATGTGCGGGAGGGGGTCACACTGGAGGTGCTCAGGGCTCACTCCGGGTGGGTCTGGGGGACCCTTCAGGGTGCCGGGGATTGAGCCCAGGTCGGCCACGTGTGAGGCAAACGCTGTCCTTAGTTCCGACCCCGCAAACCCGTTCTTAGCTGAGTCAGGCTTAGTTTGGGAAGCTGCTCTCTGTGGAAACACAGTTCCGTGCTTGTGGTTCTCGCCGCCTCCGTCCCAGAGACGCAGTGACGAGGACAGGGAGTTGGCCCAGCTCAGGGCCCAGAGGGCAGCTCCTTCCCGCCCTGTCCAGCCCCAGCCGAGCCTGCCGGCGGATGCTGAGAATTCCCAGCCAAGAGACGCGGCTGCACCCGGTGCCATGGGGTCTGCGTGGATGAGCCAAGGGGCCCCGGAAGGAGCCTCCGAGCCTGGGAACGGGTCTGGGGGCGCCCAAGGCTCCCGCCCTTCCCTGCACGAGCCTTGTCTGGAAAAAGCCCCGTCTTCCTGCCAACTGGCAAAGGGTCCAAACCCGTGGAAGGGAGGGAGGGAGGTAGGGAGGGAGGGAAGGAGGAAAAGAAGGAGAGAGAAAGGAAGGAAGGAAGGAGGAAGGAAGGAAGGAAGGAAGGAAGGAAGGAAGGAAGAAAGGAAGGAGGGAAGGAAGGAAGGAAGGGAGGGAGGGAGGAAGGAAGGAAGGGAAAGAGAAAGGAAGAAAGAAAGAAAGAAAGAAAGAAAGAAAGAAAGAGAGAGAAAGAGGAAAGGAGGAAGGGAAGAAGAAAGGAAGGTAAGAGGGAAGGAAGGAAGGAAGGAATGGAAAGAGAAAGGAAGAAAGAGAAAAGAGAGAAAGAAAGTTAGGAAGGAAAGAAGGAAGGGAGAGAGAGAAAGGAAGAGAAAAAAGGTAGAAAAAAAGTGGGAAGAAAAAGAAAGTGAGAATAAGGGAGGAGGGAAGGAAGGAAGGGAGGTAGAGAGAGAAAGAGAAAAAGAGAAAGAAAGACAGAAAAAAGGGAGGAGAAAGAGAAAGGAAAAAAGAAAGAGAAGGAAGGAAGGGAAAGAAAGAAAGAAAGAGAGAGAGGAGGGAAGGAAGGAAGGAAGGGAGAGAAAGAAAGTGAAAGAAAAAGGAAGAAAGGGAAAAGAGAGAAAGTGAAAGAAAGTCAGGAAAGAAGGAAGGGAGTGAGAGAAAGAGAAAGGAAGAGAAAGAAGGCGAGAGGAAGGAAGGAAGGAAGGAAGGAAGGAAAGAGAGGAGAGAAGGAAGGAAGGAAGGAAGGAAGAAGGAGGTAGGAAGGAAGGAGGGAAGGGAGGAAGGATGAAAAGGAGGGAGGGAGGAGGAAGGGCGGGGGGTAGTGGGTTCCGAGCGCCGCACTCCGGGCACCGGCTTCTGGGATGGAGCCGCGTCCGTCCGGGCAGCCGGGCCCAGCTGGAGGGCCACAGTGACCGGTGAGGGGCGCTGGGCCGAGCAGCAGGACGGCCGGGGCTGAGGCTCGGGTCCGGCAGGGGCGGCCTTGGGGGCTCCGCGGCGGTGGGGATGCTTCTGCGGGCGCAGACCCCGGGCTGAGCACTGCGGGTCCCCGAGTCCATCCGGCAGGCGTCCCGTGGGCCTGGGGCGAGGGGGCGGAGGGTCCCGCCACAGAACGGCCCACGGGACTTGCAGGCCTTCCCGCGGGTTCGATTCCTGGCACCCCGAGCACTGCCAGGGGTGAGCACTGAGTGCGGAGCCAGCGACGGCCCCCGACACAAACAAAGAAGGACGGTGACGAGGGAGTTCTCAGGGGCTCCCGCCCCGGCAGAAGGGCCCCGAGCTCCCAAACTAGAGTCTCGGCCTGAGAGAACTTCCCCTGAGCCACAGGACCTTTTTCCCAGGGGGGACGCCCCGCACGCGCCCTCCACCAGCCCACAGTGCTCCTCCGATAGGGGCCGGATGGCCCACGGCTGCCACCGGGATGCTCTGCCTGCGAGTTTAGTGTCAGCCCAAGAGTCGGGTCACCCCCCACCCCGCCCCGCCCATCCTCCCACACGGCCAAAAGTAGCCGACTCCTAATACACACGTGTCACGCGTGTCCGGACTCGGTGATTGGCAGAATCAAGTACTTATTCTGGGTCACCCCCCACCCATATCCGGTGTCTGTATCCTCCGAACGGCAGGAAGGACAAACCTGCAGCTCCAGCCAAGACACAGTGAAGGCGCAGGGGGCCAGCATGGGGGGGGACCCGCCTGAGCCTCCCCGGGGTCGATGAGTGAATCGGAAAACGCACAGAAACGGATCCCCCCCCCCCTCCCGAGCACGCGGCCAGCGGGCGCTGACAGGCTGATAATAGCCGGTGCCGGCCCTGGGCACTGGCCGCCCGCCCGCCACCCGGGCTGGCTCCGGTTTCACTCAGTTCCCCTGGCGCGTGCTGCCCCTGGCCAAGCGGAAACCCAAGGAGGCAGCACGACTTCCCGCCCCAGGGGAGCGAGCGCGGGGTTGTGGGCCTCGACCCTGCGCCTGGCCAGGATGAGAGGCCGCCACGTGCCTCCCTGCTTGTGGAGACGAGCACTGAGGAAGGAGGGCGAGAGGGAGCAGGAGGTGAGGTGAAATGTGACAGCACAGCAGGGAGGGCGTTTGCCTGGCACGCGGCCGACCTGGGTTCGATTCCCGGCATCCCCTAGGGTCCCCCGAGCACTGCCAGGAGTGAGTCCTGAGTGCAGAGCCGGGAGTCAGCCCTGAATGTGGGACCCAAAAAGAAAAATAATAATAATAATAATAATAATAATAATAAAATAATATTTGGTCCATCACCCAGTTCAGCACCTTGATCAATATCTGATCCATCCATGGGGGCTGGAGCAATAGCACAGTGGGGAGGGTGTTGACCTGGCACATGGCCGACCCGGGTTCGATTCCCGGCATCCCATAGGGTCCCCCGAGCACTGCCAGGAGGGATTCCTGAGTGCAGAGCCGGGAGTCAGCCCTGAGCACCACCGGGTGGGACCCAAAAAGCAAAAAAAAAGTAGACTTACTCCTGAGATGGTCACAGCATCCCTGAGCACTGCAGGGCCGAGTCCCCCAAGGAGGACGGGATTTAAGTGCGCCGCGTCCCGACACCCACAGTCGCCCTCAGGAGCGTCCCTGGCACCCCCGACCCCGTGCTGGTGCCCCCCGCCCGCCCGCGGGGCGCGCACTCACCCGAGTCGGAGGCGGCGGGGCTGGCCAGGCTGAGCAGCTCGCGCTCCTTCTCGTAGTCGCCCCTGCACAGCAGCTGCCCCTCCTTGAGCACGAACTCGTCCCCCTTGCGCAGTTGCCGTTCGCACACGCAGCAGCAGAAGCAGCCCAGGTGGTAGACGCTCTTCTGGGCGCGCATGACCAGCTCGCTGGGCGCGATGGCCTCGAAGCAGCCGCCGCACTTGACCGCGAAGAGCCTGCGGGGGGGGGGGGGGCGAGCGGGCGGGGCTGGGCTGCGCCTCCCGCACCTCCGTCACCTGCATCTCCCCCATCACCCGCCTCTCCCTGGCACCTGCATCTCCTGCACCTCCATCATCTCCATCTCCCCATCACCTGCATCTCCCCCACCTCCATCATCTGAATCTCCCCATCACCTGCATCTCCCCCATCACCTGCATCTCCTGCACCTCCATCACCTGCATCTTCCCATCACCTGCATCTCCCCCATCACCTGCATCTCCTGCACCTCCATCACCTGCATCTTCCCATCACCTGCATCTCCCCCATCACCTGCATCTCCTGCACCTCCATCATCTCCATCTCCCCATCACTTGCATCTCCCCATCACCTGCATCTCCCCCACCTCCATCATCTGAATCTCCCCATCACCTGCATCTCCCCCATCACCTGCATCTCCTGCACCTCCATCACCTGCATCTTCCCATCACCTGCATCTCCCCCATCACCTGCATCTCCTGCACCTCCATCATCTGCATCTCCCCATCACCTGCATCTCCATCTTCATCATCTGCATCTCCTTCACCTCCATCACCTGCATCTCCCCATCACCTGCATCTTCCCATCACCTGCATCTCTCCCATCACCTGCATCTCCCCCATCACCTGCATCTCCTGCACCTCCAACATCTGCATCTTCCCATCACCTGCATCTCCCCATCACCTGCATCTCCTCCACCTCCATCATCTGCATCTCCTCCATCTCCATCACCTGCATCTCCATCTCCATCATCTGCATCTCCTCCACCTCCATCATCTGCATCTCCTCCCCTCTCCCTCCCCCTTCCCCTCCTCCCCCCCACCCCTCACTCCAGAGCTGCCCCTCCTCCCCGGCAGAGCAGGGCCTGTTGCACTGCGCAAGGCCAGCCTGAACCCCCGGCTCAGCGGTGGCTGCAGGACGTGGTTGCATGCGTCCACCTGGCAACATCCGGGTACCGCCTGCCGGACCCAGGGCGTTGGGGACGGGGAGGGGCACCCATGGGTTTCTACCGACTCCCCTGCCTGTCCCGACCCGGCTCTGTGGCCCTCGCCGCCCCCTGGCTAGTGGAGCTGCCCCTACCCCGGGCCATGAGCAGACCCCACCCGGTCCGTGAGCCCACCCGGGAGTGGAGACCCCAACTGCCCACCCAGCATCCCTGCGCTCCCCTGGCCTCCCGCGCCCTGCAGACTGGGCACGGCCTTGGGGCGCCCCTCCAGAGGCCCAGGGAGGGGGTCAGACACAGCTGGCGACCGGACATGGTGAGGGGTGGGGCCTGAATCTTGGAGGGTCCCACCCACGGGCTCAGGTGGTCCCTCGGGCCCTCCATGGGCGGGAGGTCGAGGCAGATTGAGGCAGGCTGCATCTGGGCCCCCCAATCCCCGGGAGCTAAGCCCCCTCCCTCAGGCCAGCAGGCGGGGTACCGCCTCTCCCCTCCCCCCAGTAAAGGGGTCCCAGGGCCGGGCAGGACCCGCCACCAGGGGGCAGCCCCGCCGCGCTCTCGCCAGGACGGGAAGGGGGGACGCTGGGCCAGCCTGGCCGCCGTCCAGAGCTGTCTGCCGGGCAGGAGCGAGCGCAGTGACAGACCCGGCACGGCTCCCTCTCGGCGCTGGAGGCCGGGGACAATAGCGGGAGTCTGGGCGGCGGGACAATGAGCCCGCCTGGCTGTGGGGCGGGGAGGGGGTCCCCACCGAGAGGGCAGACAGACAGACGGCAGCGGTGGTGGGGGGGTCTCAGCGTCCCCCCCAGCACAGCAGTCCAGGGGTCTCGGAGCGCGGGGCCGGGCTCACCCCAGCCGGGCCCAAGAGGCTCCCAGCAAGACTCGACTTCGTCACCGAGGGGGCTGGTGACTCTCGTGGGACCAGAAGGCCATGGCTGGGGCGGGGGGGGGGGGGGGGGGGGGTTGCCTGTAGCCGCTTCCCAGCACTGGGAGGCCACAGTGAGGCCCCGGGTTCGAGTCTGCCCTGGCCAGCCCGTGCTGAGATGCAAACTGGCCACAGAGCGCGGTCAGTCAGTCCCGGGGACACCCAAGCCGGTGTCCACCCTGCCCGCACCCCCACCGGCCTGGCACTGACCCACAGGCAGCCGCCCACCAGCGTCTGCCCGGGAAGTCACAGCCTGTGACACCACTGACCCTTACAACACCCCAGCCCGGACCCTGGTCCTAAGCACAGAGAAGTTCCAGCCAGGGACATGCCACACGGGGCTGGGTCAGGGATCAGCGCACAGGGCTGCAGCTGTGGCCTGTCCCCTTGTCCCCTGTCCCCCGTCCATCTGTCCCTTCCCTTCTCCTCGCTGCCTGGACCCAGAGTCCAGGTAAAGGTGGCTGGGTCCTTACACTGTCCTGGGGCCAGGGAGGAACTGCAGCAGTGGGGAGGGTGTGTCCCACACACACACACCCCCCAGGGTGCTGGCCCATCTCTGTCTTGGTCCATCCCCACCCCGCCCCGGGCTCTCAGCACCGCCCAGTTCTGTCCACGGTACAGAGAGTCTGGCACGGCCGGGGCCCACGCGGGCCAGGACGGGGCGTGTGGGCGCGTGGGGCGTACGGGTCAGGCTGCTGGACACATGTGTGAGCACGTGAGTGCGTGTGTGCTGGGGCACGCGGGGTTAGTGCGGGTGACGGCATGTGAGTGAGCGGGGAGGGCGTGGTGTGGCCCAGGAGTGCGTGTGCGCCCAGGTGTGAGTGTGTGTGTGTGCCCCTGAGTATGAGTGCGTGTGTGAGCATGTATGTGAGATGCCAGGAGTGTGGGGGGTGTTATGTGAGTGTGTGTGTGTGACCCTGAGCATGAGTGTGTGTGTGTGTGTGAGATGCCAGGAATGCAGGAGTGTTATGTGTGTGTGTACCTGAGTATGAGTGTGTGAGTGTGAGCGTGTGTGTGTGGAGGTGTCCATGAGTGAGTGGCCGGCTCGGGGCAGCACAGGTGACCCCCAGAGCTCCCTCAGGGGTCGTGGACACGCCGTGTCACCACACTGCCCCCAACAACCTCAGTGGGGCCCCGAAGAGCCGGGACCGTCCAGCACGGACCAGGACAGCCGCACTCTGGGGATCCCCGTGCCCCTCAGCCGGCTGCCCGGCTGGGGGTCCGCTCACTGGCTCTCCCTCGGCACCACCCAGGGCGTGTGGGGGGTCCCGCCCATCCCCAGCCGCCTGGGGCCCGAGCCCGCCCTTCCCCAGCGAGTGGACTTGACGGCTCTGACCCCCGGCCCCCTCACAGCCGCACAGGCAGGCCAGGAGGAATGACGGGGGGTCGCCCCCACCCCAAGCCACAACAGGTCTGAATCCAATTTCCCCGACGCCTCCGGAGCCTCCCCAGCCCGCGCCCTCGGGGTTAGTGCCAGGGGCTTCGGAACCACAAGAATCTCCCGCCCAGGATTGGGGGGGGGGCAGCGGGAGGGGCCACAGGCCTGGGTGCCAGCCTGTGTGTGCCTGCGTGCATCTGTGTGTGCTGGGGTGTGAGCGTGTGCACGTGTGCCTGTGTCCGTGTGCGTGTGTGCTGCGGGGTTGTGCGTGCACGTGTGTGTGCTAGGTGGTGCGCAAGCTGGGTTGCGTGCATGTCTGTGCACGTGTGTGTAGGGTAAGTGCTTGCATGTTCGCCGAGCGTGTGCACGCGTGGACGTGCACACGTGTGTGGTGCTGGGTCCGTGCTTGCGTGTGCGCTGGGCGCACGCGTGTCCACACGCTCCCTGAGACTGAGGTCTGATTTCGCAGCCTAATTTCTGACCTTGACACAAAACCCCCGGCCCCTCCCGTCATGGGCCACACAGGACGGCTGGGAGTAGCTAACACCCATGAGGTGAGGACGTGGCGGGAGGAACCCAGTTGGGGGAGCGGCCAGCGGGGCAGGGGGTGGCCAGTACCAGCCGGTCCAGGAGGAGGGTTATGGGCTCCCGGGAGAGCCGACAGCAGCCCCGCCCCCCAGGACCCTCAGGAGCTGGCCGGCAGGGGCCGAGGACGAACAAGACAGAGACCCCCTAATGCTTCGGTGCTGACGTGGGCCTCAGTCACCCCGCGAGGGACATGAAGCGCCCCCCCAGGACTCCACAGGTCCACCTGGGGTCACTGGCAGCCTCGGCCCCGTGACATTACTTGTCCCCGTGACATCACGTCACTCAGCCCCGTGATGTCACTCAGTCCATGACATCACTCGGCCCCGTGACGTCACTTGGCTCGTGATATCACCTGGATCGTGATGTCACTCAGCCCCGTGACGTCACTTGGCCTGTGACATCACTCATCCTCGTGACATCACTCGGCCCCAGTGCCAGTGGGTAGCACCGGCCCCTCCGGGCGCCCCCCCCAGGCAGACACGGCTCCTTACTGCCCTGGGAATGGGGGAAGGGGGCCCTGGGGCCGGGGGCCGGCTGGGGGTGCCCTCCAGCCTGGGGAGGCCGTTTCCTGCCCGGCAGGCTCCACGGATGGACAGACGGACGTGACCACATCCCCCAGCTGGCAGGGAGGGGCGGAGGGGGTGGGGGACCCGCATGCCCGTCCAGCCTGCCTGTCCAGCCGCCTCTCTCCGGCCTGCGCTGACGGGAGGGGTCAGGGGCCTCGGCGCTGGGGGGTCTGCGAGCGACGGTGATGGATGGTGCGGTTTGGGGCGCGGCCTGAGAGCAGGGAGGGAGGCTGGACTTGTGGACTTGGGCGGACACTCAGCAGCAGCCTTGGGGAGGCACTGGCTGAGCACAGCCCAGTCCTGGGGGGAGGAGGGAGGGGAGGAGGGAGAGGAGGGAGGGGAGGAGGGAGGGGAGGGAGGGGAGGAGGGAGGGGAGGGAGGGGAGGAGGGAGAGGAGAGAGGGGAGGAGGGAGAGGAGGGAGGGGAGGAGGGAGGGGAGGAGGGAGAGGAGAGAGGGGAGGAGGGAGGGGAGGAGGGAGAGGAGAGAGGGGAGGAGGGAGAGGAGGGACGGGAGGAGGGAGAGGAGGGAGGGGAGGAGGGAGGGGAGGGAGGGGAGGAGGGAGGGGAGGAGGGACGGGAGGAGGGACGGGAGGAGGGAGAGGAGAGAGGGGAGGAGGGAGAGGAGGGACGGGAGGAGGGAGAGGAGGGAGGGGAGGAGGGGAGGGAAGGAGGGGGAGGTGGGAGGGGAGGAGGGAGGGGAGGAGGGAGGGGAGAGAGGGGAGGAGGGAGAGGAGGGACGGGAGGAGGGAGAGGAGGGAGGGGAGGAGGGAGGGGAGGAGGGAGAGGAGAGAGGGGAGGAGGGAGGGGAGGAAGGAGAGATGGGAGGGGAGGAGGGAGAAGAGGGAGAAGAAAGAGGGGAGGAGGGAGAGGAACAGGAGCAGGGAGGAGAGGGAGGGGAGGAGGGCGAGGAGGGAGGGGAGGAGGTGGAGCCGGAGAAGGTGCAGCCCAAGAGCCTTGAGCACGGCTAGGAGGCCCCTCCCTGAATCAGGGCTATGGGGGGGGACCGATGTGTCCATGCAGTCCCCGCCCGCCCCACCCCCTGGGCCTCCCCTGCCTCAGTCTCTCTCATCTGGTCTCTTATCAGTGTGGGGGATCACACCTGGCGATGCTCTGGGCTGACTCCCGGCTCTGCACTCAGGGATCACTCCTGGCGGTGCTCGGGGGACCCTAGGGGATGCCGGGGCTCGAACCTGGGTCAGCCTCATGCCGGGCCAGCACCCTCCCGCTGTGCTGTCACTCGACAGTGTCGCACCCACGCCCAGGGCATCCCCAGGGTGCCCCTGACCCGTCGCCGCGAGGCCACTGTTTGGGGCAGGCCGAGAGCCGCCCAGAGAGAGAGACGCTCAGGGGGACACGGGGCTCAGGGTGAGGGGCCCAAGGCCGGGAAAC